CCCGGGCAAAGTCAGCCCGGGTCCTGGGTGCCTGTCACCGGCCAGAGGGAGGAAAGCCTGGGTCCTGGGCTGTAATGGCTGGAGGAGGGAATGCTGGGTCCTGGGTATGAGGCAAGGCAAGAGGTGGTTAGGGGTGATCAGGCCAGCAGGGGAGCAGTTAGGGGTGATCAGGCAGGCAGGCAGAGGTGGTTAGGGGTGATCAGGCAGGCATAGGGGTTAGGGGCAATCAGGCAGGCAAGCAGTTAGGAGCCAGTGGTCCCAGATTGTGACTGGCAGTCATAAATCCCCTGAGGGGTCCTGGATTGGAAAGTGTGCAGGCCAGGCTGAGGAACGCCCCCACCATGCATGAATTTTGTGCACTGGGCCTCTAGTTAAAACATATTTCCTTTAATGTGGGAAACTGAAATTCTAGGTTCTATCACTTGATCTGGTTTGTTTTAGCACATCACCCCACCCCACTTACTTTATCAGCATCTTTTTTTTTTAATATGTTTTATTTAGTTTTTAAAGAGAGAAAGGGAGAGGGATAGAGTTAGAAACATGGATGAGAGAGAAATATCGATCAGCTGCCTCCTGCACACTCCCCACTGGGTATGTGCCCACAACCAAGGTACATATCCTTGACCAGAATTGAACCTGGGGCTCTTGATTCTGCAGGCTGACGCTCCATCCACTGAGCCAAACAGGTTAGGACTATCACATCTTTTAAACAACTATAGAACATCATTTATAAATAATCAAAGTTGAGCACTTTTGCCTGAATCTTGAAAGATTCATTTAACAGATAGCTATTATGTAGATTTTAAGTGATTATCAAAATAGTAGTTAACACCACCTTCTACCTTCAAGAAGAAAAATAATAATAATAAAGGAATAAGGTAATCATAAAATTGATAAATACAACTGTAGTGATAACAATTAGAGACAGAAAAGTGGGTCAAAGTTTTCAAATATGATTTTTTTTTCAGATCTACAGGAGATATAGCATTAAGTGATCGTTTCCACCTATTTTTTTTTTTCATGATTAGAGATCAGGATATTAGTGTGCCTACGTGCAAGTGAATTATACTCCTGAAATTCTGAAATTCATTTCCAACAGGCAAATTATATGACAGCACAAAGTAGAATATTCAAATTTAATTTTGATTTAGTTCTGTAGATTCAAAGTAATAAGCTAAATGTATGAAAACATCAAAAAGTAATATTTAAAACCAATAAAAACTCACATAATGCTATCCTTTTCAGTGGTTCTCAACCTGTGGGTCGCAACCCCTTTGGCGGTCGAACGACCCCTTCACAGGGGTCGCCTAAGACCATCCTGCATATCAGATATTTACATTACGATTCATAACAGTAGCAACATTACAGTTATGAAGTAGCAAAGAAAATAATTTTATGGTTGAGTCACAACATGAGGAACTGTATTTAAAGGGCCAGAAGGGTGAGAACCACTGCTTTAGCTTATAGTAAAACGTATTGCAGTCTCTTATAAATGTCACACAGCTAAAATAATATTACCAAAACTAAAATTGTCCTACAAATAGCTTTATAAACCATAGTTAAGATATTATACCATTTAACCACATTCAGAAAGAAGCTAATATAATAACCGGGGGGGGGGGGGCATAAGAAAAACAATGTCATCCCAATAAATTTAATTTAAAAATTTCTTCATGCCACAGGGACAAAAAGCACACACACAAAAAATCTCATGTAGCAAGTTGTTGCCACTATTATATGGCTAATTTTATATCTAAATTGTAGTAATGCCTTAAAACTTTGGTTAAAAATTTTCAGTGACCTTTCAGATAAGGGTAAGTTTTTCACTGATGCTTACAAAACCCTCCACAGAAACAGGTGTTTTTTAAAATGTGGATGTTTTAATTTAACGAATTATAAATGGCAAAGCTATATTTCCAGTAATTACAATGGAAAACAAATATACTGTGTTTAATTTATTATAATACAATATACTTTTACATTTTAAAGAGATTTATTATTTTTGATATTTAAACTTAGAGAGAATAAAAAGTTATTTAAGCCTAATGCTATTTACTAATACATACCAAATGCCAACTCTTAACCCTGAAGTAGTTTGGTGATTTGTAGATCAGTTGTCTAAAAAAGGACTAGCTCTCTAAAGACCCAATATTTTTAAGATTCATTTTAGTTTTTGATCTCTGAGTAGGATGGTGGTAAATACCTGATTTCATTCTAATAATGTTGAGTCTGGGAGCTACATGTAAAAACCAATGAATTAGAAGATACAGAACCGTATACGGAAAAAAAGTATGAATCCTATATTTTATAACTTTGAAATCAAGTTTTAAATAAAAGTTCAAAGTGATGTAGATGATTTATTTTTTAATATTAACCTTAAGTGAAGATTATAGCCATGTTGGGGTGGGGCCAAGGGTATGACTTTTAGACAATAACAAGATATTGTCTGGTATGCTCAGAATTTTTAATATGTAAAGTTCCTTTTGTCATCTCTATGAGATTTATAGAATTCTTGAAAAATGCTTTCAATGAAACAAAATACTTTTAGAATTAAAGAATTGTTTTGTGATGGTAAGATTTCATTAATGCTCCACATGTTTGTTTTTTTTCCTATTTGGTTGTTGCAGTGTTTTATATAAGTGCAATAAATCAAGCTTATTTTGTTTTTTGAAATCTAGTATATTATTTTTCAATCTCATGAGAGAGCTACATTGATTATCTCACTATGTGGATATAATTGGCAATATCTCCTTGCAGTTGTATTATTTTTTGCTTCATATAATTTGAGGCAATGCCATTAGGTGTGAAGTGTAGCAGAATGTGCCAACCCAAACTATCTACTTTAGTATGTGAAGCTGAAGGCAATCAAGAGCCAGCAGACACAGAAAAAGCTTTTATCTCCTCATTATCAGCCAAGAATCTAGAAGGGTATAGGGGAAATTATTTTACTTCCTCTATAGATAGCTGCATATAAGTTTATGATTACAACTTCATTGTGCTTTGATCCTTTTTATTTTATGTAGTGAACCTCTATTCGTGACACTTTGTTGACCTTATGTAATTGTTTGATATAAATATAGTGGCCTTGAGAGATTAAAAATGATGGCAGAGTAAGTGGATGCTGCACAGACATGCTCTCAGGAACAAACTGGAATTACAACTAAAATACAGAAAAACTTCCTGAATAATCAACAGAAGACTAGCAGGAGAGAACACTGATACCCAAGGACCTAAAGTGGAGACCACATAGAGACTAGTAGGAGGGGTGGAGGCGTGAAAGGGCTGTCCAGGAGCTCACAGACATCAACTGAAGTTCCGGAGAGATATCTCATCTGTGGGGGATTGCCACTGAGAACTCTGGGATCTAATACAAAAGCTGGGCCCCAAGCAGAGAGAACCAGAACTGAGAACAGTACCCATAAAAAATCTGGCTGTGAAAAGGAGCATTGGGTTGCTGTCTGTCAGGGAGTGACAGCTGAAAATTCAGGCACACTTTTAAAGGGTGAACACACATAATTGCCTATGGCACCACCCATCTTGTGCTCACACAGAGGGAGAGCAGAGTGGACTAGAGCTGTGTGAGCAAAAGCCAGGATTAGGGACTCAGGGGTTTGATCTCAGAAGGCAGACAGTCTCCCTCTCCCCCATATCCTGTGCTGAGTCATTCCCTCACACAGTGGAGGACATCTTTCCCATACAGACATTTGCCTTGCCTGAGAGAAAGACAGTTGACACACCCTATTAGAAAACACCTTGTCCTGAGGTCACTTGAGAGACTAAAATTAACAATTAGCCTTCAGGCAGAAGCAACTGCCCCACCCTGTTTAAAAAAAATTTCACCACACCTGAGGACAATTACATGGGGGCAATTCAAGTTGGAATTCTATCAGTCTGTAGGCAGAGCTGGTCTCGGGAGGCTTTGAGTCTTCTCCTGATCTAATTAGTCAGGAATAGCTTTTGACACTGTCCTGCACTAAAGATTGAGAGGGATAGAGGATCTACCTAATACATAGTCACAAACCCAAACAGAAAGCCAAAATGAGGAGACAAAGAAACAACCCCCAAATGAAAGAACAAGAGAATTGTCCAGAAGAAGAGAAAAACGAAGCAGAGAAAGAAATTTATCTGAAACAGAGTTCACAGTAATGATGGTAAAGATGCTTAACAGCATGAAAAAAGTTATAATATCTATGAAAAAATGAACAGTCAGAAATAAAGAATGACATAACACAAATAAAGAATACATTGGAAGGAATACAAAGCAGATTATGGGAAACTGAGGATCAAATTAGTGAATTAGAAGACAGGGTTGAAAAAATCACTCAGAACCAAAAAGGAAAAACAATTAAAAAATAGGAGGACAGCTTAATGGAGCTGTGAGACAAGGTGAAACATAAAAATATTTGAATAGAAGTTATGCCAGAAGAGGCAGAAAAGGAAGAAAAGGATAGAGAACATGTTAGAAGAAATAATGGTAGAAAACTTTCCTAACATGGTAAAGGAAAAAGTCACACAAGGGCATGAGGTACAGAGAAACCTAAGCAAGAAGAACCCAAACAGGCCCATGCCCAGACACATCATATTTAAATGTCAAAAATTAAAGATAAAGACAGAATCTTAAACGCAGCAAGAGAAAAGCTAAATGTCACCTACAACGGAGCTCCCATAAGGCTGACACCTTATTTCTCATCAGAAACTCTACAGGCCAGAATGGAATGGCATGAAGTACTCAAGGTAATAGAAAGAAAGGATCTGAGACCAAGATTACTATATCCAGCAAGGCTGTCATTCAAAATAGACGGTCAAATAAAGAGCTTCTCAGACAAAAATATAAAATAAAATAAAAAATAAATAAAGGAGTACATTGCCACCAAGTCAGCATTACAAGAAAGGCTAAATGGACTGCTGTTATGAGAAGTAGCAATAAAGAGAGAGAAACCTAGGCACACAGAATTAAAATGGCAATAAATAAGTACCTATCAATAATAACCCTGATGCCAGACCAGCGGCAGGTCGAGACCTGGACGAAATTCTAATCGCCCTCACATCAAACCTGTGCCGCTGTCCGGGCTGTCATCTCCTAAGAAAGGTCGTGGGGCCATGTCGAACATGGAGAAACACCTATTTAACTTGAAGTTTGCTGCAAAAGAGCTTAATAGGAATGCCAAGAAATGTGATAAAGAAGAAAAGGCTGAAAAGGCCAAGATTAAAAAGGCTATTCAGAAAGGGAATACAGAAGTTGCAAGAATACATGCTGAAAATGCAATCCGTCAGAAGAACCAAGCAATTAATTTCTTGAGAATGAGTGCTAGGGTTGATGCTGAGGCAGCCAGAGTTCAAACTGCAGTAACAATGGGCAAGGTAACCAAGTCCATGGCAGGTGTAGTTAAATCTATGGATGCTACATTGAGGAGTATGAACCTTGAAAAGATTTCTGCCCTGATGGACAAATTTGAACACCAATTTGAAACACTGGATGTTCAAACACAACAAATGGAAGACACAATGAGTAGTACTACAACCCTAACAACACCACAAAGCCAAGTGGATATGCTGCTTCAAGAAATGGTAGATGAAGCTGGCCTTGATCTCAATATGGAACTACCACAGGGTCAGACAGGATCTGTTGGCACCAGTGTTGCTTCCATGGAACAGGATGAACTATCACAGAGACTTGCTCGTCTACATGATCAAGTGTAATTTAAAGAACTGGTGCTTTTGTTTACTTCACCTGCTTCTGAAAAATTTCATGTGTATATATAGATAAGTTTCACTCCAGTTACACTAAGAACACCATATGTTACAGAATGCTTAAATGCTATTTATTTATAATGCTTTCTTTTGCCATGTTGTACTTTCTAATACTTTAAGAAATTCCATAGAGTTTCCACCTTGACATATTTTATAGTTTTGTATATTATATTGTAAAATATGGGGGACATTTTTTTAGATGACTTTGACCAAGCTGGCATTAATTTGTTGTATAAGAAACATCCTTTTTTTTAAAATATATTTTATTGATTTTTTTTTTACAAAGAGGAAGGGAGAGAGATAGAGAGTTAGAAACATCGATGAGAGAGAAACATCGATCAGCTGCCTCCTGCACATATCCCACTGGGGATGTGCCTGCAACCCAGGTACATGCCCTTGACCGGAATCAAACCTGGGACCCCTCAGTCCGCAGGCTGACGCTCTATCCACTGAGCCAAACCGGTTTCGGCTGAAACATCCTTTTTAAAAATTGCATCAAAAATCTGGTAACAAAGTATTACAGAAGAAAGTATAGAATAAAGATTTTGGTTTCTTTTAATTCAAAGTTGTTTTAAATCTCTGCATTCACATGTGATGCATAATAGTAAAAGCAGGGAAACCAAGTTTACTTAACATGCTTACAAGCCAAAAATACCTTATTTAGTGTCATATGATGGGCAATGCTATTTTTTTAAGAAATCATTTTTTTATTTTTGGAGAGAGAGGAATGGAGAGGGAGAGAGGAGAAACATCAATATGAGAGTGGAACATCCATTGGTAGTCTCCTGCATGCGCCCTGACCAGGAATCGGTTCAACAGCCTTTTGGTGCATGGAAAGATGCCCAACCGAGCCACACTGGCCAGGGAGACAAAGCTATTTTTTTTTTGTTTTATATTTTGTGTTTATTTTTGCTGTTCAAGCACAAATGCAATTGACTTTTATTCTGTCTTAATCAGCTTTTAAATTTAGATTATTACTGGATTTTTTAACCAGTAATTTGATGACTATTATTCCGAATTCCTGAAATTTTAAAAAAATTTCATGGATAATTTTCCAATATAACTAGAAAAAATATACACCGTTACATTAAAGAAATTAAAGTTTGCTCAGTTTTTAAATTTTTTCTTTGCTAAATCACTATTGTTAAGTATGAAATTAAACCTTTCATACTTTCAAAAACACATTTTAAATGATTCTCCTTATTTCTACTCTACCCTTGATAACACTGTATTTTGAAAGATTAATTTACATGGCCTTAATATAATTTATATTTTTCATATGATTGTTTATTGCTTTTTGAGAATCTTAGCCTAGATTTTAAAAGCAACAACAAAAAGTAACAGAAGAAACAAAATGGAATCAATTCAAGTTACAACTACCATAAGCCCTGGTTAAATGTATTTGTCCTTTTAAGAAAAGACTCTTTAATAACTGGAAGAAATTAAGTAGAACTAAATGTTGGAATAAAATGTTTTGCCTAGCCATTCGAATAACTTCCAGAGCAATGGAAGTTGGGTGTACAATGTAGGGGGTTGGAACGCGGAAAAGTCCAAAGATCAAAAAAAGACTAAACTCTGGAAGGCCAGATCTTTGGGGGAAAGCATTTGATGGCCAATTGTACAACTTTCCATCTCTCCAGTAATAGTTCTGTTTTACCCAACTAAAATGAACAAATGTTTGCAATTTTCTTCTATAACAGTCACAAATGTGGAGAAGTGACAAAGTTATATTTTAGCTGGCATACTACTAATCTATGTTAAGTAGGTAAAGTGTTTTTCATTACTTACTGCATGATTGATTCATGAAAGAATTTTAATATTTCATTAAGTTTTGTTGACTAGCAGATCCATTGTTAAGTCATGAAGGCATTCAAAGTGCAATTATGGAGACATTTTTGCTAAGTATTCACAATTCATACATGTTTCCTATTGTAAATGAGAGTGTATAAATGACGATTATTTTCACTGGGTAATGAAATTAGAAATTACTCTTTTGTTAAGTTTCAGTTAAACCTACTTAACTTTCTTGGTACTTGACTAAATGGTATGACCTCAGTGTGGTAATCTTCTATTTTGTTTATAATTGATGCTTTGTCCTTTTTACTGAAAGTATAAGTTTGTTCATATTGGAACATCCTGGGGAGGTATAGAAGAGATTAATACAGACTAAAATATCTATGAAATAGTTATCTCATTTTCCATTGGTGGGAATTGTAACTTTTGTTCTTTTAAATTAAATAAAAAGTGTTAATTGTGAATATGGCTTACTTAAATCTAGAAAAATATATGGTTCTGATCTAAAAATAAATGTTCATAGTTTTGCTTAAAAAAAATAATAATAACCCTAAATGTAAATGGATTAAATGCTCCAGTTAAAAGGTATAGGGTAGCTGAATGGATACAAAAACATAACCCAACTATATGCTGTCTATAAGAGACCCACATCAGAACAAAAGACACACAAAGGATGAGAGTGAAAGGATAGAAAAATCTTTTCCATGCAAATGGAAAAGAAACAAACAAACAAACAAAAAAGCTGAAGTAGCAATATTCATATCTGACAAAATAGACTTCAAAATGAAGGTCATCACAAGAGACAACAAAGGTCACTACATAATACTAAAGGGACCAATCCACCAAGAGGATATAACCCTGGTAAACATATATGCCCCCAATATAGGAGCACCTAAATATATTAAAAACTTCTAGAGGACTTTAAGGGAGAAATTGACAACAATACAGTCATAGTAGGAACTTTACCCCCTCCCCCCAACTTCACTGGATATGTCCTCCAGACAAAAACTTAATAAGAAAACAATGCCTCTAAAGGACACTGGATCAGATGGAATTAATTGACATTTATAGAACATTTCACCCCAAAGCAGCAGAATATACATTCTTCTCCAGTGCACATGAATCATTCACAAAGGTAGACTACATGTTAGGACAGAAGACAAGTCACTAAAAGTTCAAGAAGATTGAAATCATATCAAGTATCTTCTCAGATCACAGTAATTAGAAATTAGAAATCAACCGCAGTAAAAACACCCAAAAACATTCAAACACATGTAGACTAAATAGCATGTTATTAAACAATGAATGGGTTATCAATGAGATCAAGAAAAATATCACAAACTTCCTGGAAACAAATGAAAATGAACACACAACAACCCAAAATCTCTGGGACACAGCAAAAACAGTCCTGAGAGGGAAGTTCATAGCACTACAGGCATACCTCAAAAAGCAAGAAAAATCAGCTATAAATTATTTAACCCTACAATTTAAAGGACTAGAAGACAACAACAAGAAAAGCCCAGAGTAAGTAGAAGGAAGGAATTAATAAAGAGCAATACAAAAGAATCAATGAAACCAAGAGCTTGTTCTTTGAAAGGATAAACAAAATTGATAAACTGTTAGCCAAACACGTCAAGAAACAAAGAGTGAGGAACCAAATAAAATCAGAAACAAAAGAGGTGAAGTAACAACTGGCTCCACAGAAATACAAAGGATTATAAGAAAATACTATGAACAACTATACAGTATGCTAACAAGCTGGACAATGAGGATGAAATGCACAAATTTTAGAAAAATACAATCTCCCAAAACTGAATCAGAAAACCTGAATAGGCCAACACCAACTGTTGAAATAGAAGCAGTAATAATAATAATAATAATAATAATAATAACTCTCAGAAAATAAACTCCCAGGTCCAGATGGCTTCACAAGGGAGTTTTACCAAACATTCAAAGAAGAACTAACATCTATACTCCTCAAACTATTTCAGAAAATCCAATAGGAAGGAATACTTCCAAACTCTTTTTATGAGTCCAGCATTATCCTAATTCCAAAACCAAATAAAAACACTACAAAGAAAGAGAATTACAGGCCAATATCCCTGATGAACATAGATGCTAAAATCACTAACAAAATATTAGCAAATCTTATCCAGCAAAATATTAAAAATATCATACACCATGACCAATGGGATTTATTCCAATGATAAAGGCTGATTCAATATTCACAAGTCAATAAATGTGATACATCACATAAACAAATTGAAAAACAGAAATCACATGATCATATCAATAGATTCAGAAAAAGCATTTCACAAAATCCAACACCTAATTTTGATAAAAACTCAGCAAACTGTGAATAGAGGAAGCATTATCTTAACATGATAAAGGGCATATATGACAAACCTGCAGCTAACATCATACACAATGGGCAAAAGTTAAAAGCATTTTCCCTAAGAACAGGAACAAGATAGGGATGCCAACTTTCACTTCTCCTATTTTACATAGTACTGAAAATCTTAACCACAGCGATCAGAGAAGACAAACAAATAAAAGCCATTAAAATTGGAAAGGAGGAAGTAAAACTCTCATTATTCGCAGATGACATGCTATTGTAGATAGAAAACCCTAAAGACCCCACCAAAAAACTACTAGATTTAATAAATGAATTTGACAATGTAGCGGGATACAAAATCAACAACCAAAAATTGATGGTTTTTTTATACACCGATAATGAATTCTCAGGAGATACTAAACAAATAATCTCATTTACCATTGCAATAAAAAAATTAAGGTATTTAGGAATAAACTTAACGAAGAAGGCAAAAGACCTGTACTCAGGAAACTACAGGACATTTGAAAAAGAGACAGAAGAAGATATAAACAAGTGGAAAAATATACTGTGTTCATGGATTGGTAGAATCAACACCATTAAAGTGGCCATACTACCCAAGTCAATCGATAGATTCAATGCAATCCCTATTAAAATACCAACAGCATATTTCACAGAGGTATAAAAAACACTCCAAACATTTATATGGAATTGAAAAAAAAAAAGAACCTGAATAGCTGCAGCAATTTTGAGAAAGAAAAACAAAGTTGGAGGACTCACAATACCAGATTTCAAGTTATACTACAAAGCTACCATAATTAAAACAGCCTGGTATTGTCACAAGAAGAGGCTTATAGATCAATGGAACAGAACAGAGAACCCAGAAATTGACCCAAGCCATTACACTCAATTAATATTTGACAAAGGAGGCAAGAGTTTAC